TCCTCCTCTTCCCCACCCGAAACATCCTTCTTCCTCCCAAAGACCTCCAATTCAACCTCACTATCATCATCATTATCATCATCATCATCATCATCATCATCATCATCATCATCTTCATCATCATCACTTGATTCCTCCTCGTCCCCATCAACAGCATTTCCCTTCTTCCCCAACACCTCCAATTCAACCTCGCTATCATCATCCTCTTCTACCCTCTCCCACGATGAGCTCCCCTGCTCCTGCTCTACCACATCCACATACTCCTCCTCCTCCTCCAGTACAGGTAAGCTCTCCTCACTAGAGGCAGCTATACTCTCTAGGAAGGCGTCATCAGCCATAAGCGTCTCCCGCAACTTCTCCACAGCATCCTGTCATCAATACACAGAGAGCATCACCCACCCCAAAGTTGGAGTAGGAAAATCCGTTCGCTTTCCTCAGCCGAGCTCAACAATTCTCACACTTATTATAGGAGTTCACATACGAATCCGTGTAAAAATGTACAGGAATCAATGAGAATTTCCTCCGAAATTTCTTCAGAATTTCCAGATTGTCACCAACACATGTGGTGAACCCCGTATATATTTTCCCATACCGTCACGCGCCATGAAATTCCGAAGCATTTAAGCGACTTATACCACACGGAAATGAACTGATCAAGGCAGTGCTGAAAAATATGTAATCGCTTTCCTCAGCCGAGCTCGAAAGTTTCCTCACTAAATATACACTTTGACATACGAATTCGTGTATAGATGTACAGAAGTCAATGAGAATTTCCCAAAATTTCCTCGAAATTTTCAAATATCGTCATCATCATATGTGGTTGACCATATGCACATTTTCCCACACTGGATCAAAAGCTCTATATTAGTGCACTAAAACCGTCACGCGCCACAAAATTCAAAAACCCATCACCTCCGAAACTTCGCCGATACCAATGAAATATATGCACTCCATCTACGGACCTCTAAATAGTTCACTAGAAATCCATAAATCGCCGTCGCGCGCCACGAAATTCCCACCTTATGCTTCTTAGACTTTTCGTGATTAGCGTAAGCCTTGTTGCTCTTAAACACTTTCTTGCACGCTGCACACTCGTACACGTCCTGGACCTCCTCCTCCTCCTCCTGAATGCTAACACATCCATCCATTTAACGACAAGAGCAACCACGATATTTCAAAAATTCATAGAAAACTCGAAAACATTCTCATCAATGCATCATCATAGAGAAAAATATCAGTACTAAACATGCGAAAAAGGGGGAGGTATGGTATGTATTTCAATGGAGTTTCACGAGCTGTGATATGAAAAACACTAGTGAAAAATATATTTCACGACTACTGCATATCACCGCGAATATCGCGTTTTTCACCGAGTTTTACGCCACTTCACGTAAAACGAGTTATAATGGAGCTATACATAACTCGGATCATACATGGCAATTTTCCTAACTAGAGAAAAATCTTAATAGTGTTTTTAATATTACTACTTCGATGAATATACAAATATGCAGTGTTGGGGTAGGAATATATGCTCGCTTTCCTCAGCTGAGCATAGGAGTTTCTAAAGCTAATTATGGACATTTTCATACGCGTAAAAGTGTACAGAAACCAACAATATTTTCCCAAAATTTCCTCAAAAATGCCATATCATCACCAACCCATGTAGTTAACTCCGTGAATATTAGAAATATTTCGCAAAAGTGGGGGAGAAAATCTGATATTCTCCGAAGCACATTGAAATGGCAAGTACTACTACCACCTCCTGAGAACTAGTAGTAGATGAGCCTCCCCCATTCCTCCTCGCCATAGCAGCCACCTCAGCCTCGTTTTCTGCCCAGCGCTTCTCTTGCACTACTCTAACAATAACACAATCACGGCTACTAGGATGAGCCGCAAACCCCCAAAAGATGTTGCTATAATACTAAGCTTTGATCTAGTGATACACACAAACACTCTAACAATAACAAACTATCACGAAGATAAGCAGTAAACCCCCTTACATCAACAAGAGAAGCAATGCTGTTGTTATAACTACTATGGTTCTAACAACAACATTAGTTTACTCTGACAAGGAACTATCACGAACAGGAGGCTCCTTATAACAACAATAACAACAATGACAGTAACAGTAACAACAAGAGCAATGCTCTTGCTATTGTTTTTAAAACCACATACACTCCAACAACAAACTATCGCTACTACTACTACTACTAGGATAAGCAGCAAACCCCTTATAACAACAACAGTAATTGTAATAACTACCATTACTCTAACAACAACAATATCACCACGCTAAGCAGCATTCTCCCCATCTACACCCTACCTCGCCCTAGCCCTCCTCTCCCGCTTCATCTCCTCTTTCCTCTTCCTTTCCGCCTTCCTTTCCTCCTCTCTACCACCACCAACAACAACCACTTCCTCCTCAATTTAATACTCTACCACTTACACCCTCTCAGCTTGCAGTTGTTCTACCTTCCTCTGCTCAGCCACTCTAGGGTCTCTGTTACGGACATACTCCACCAAATGCCGTACCTTAACACATTCTCCGTAATAACATCGTCACCGTAATTTCCAGGAAAAAAAGATCTTAGAATTTCCAACCCAAAATCTCTACCAAATGACATACCTATCTAGTGATAACATGATTACCGTAATTTCCAGGGGAAAAAACCGAAAAAGCTTTTCCAGAAAAAGCTCGTGTTGCAATTCCTAACCCAAAATTGCCCATACAAAAATCGCTACACCGACGATCGCACTGTATTTAGCATCATTCGAAAAACCACTTCTGCTAACGTCCAGTGTTGGAGGAATATATGTTCGCTCTCCTCAGCCAACCTCACGAATTACCCCCGTTATTTATACAACTTCGGGTAGAAGAATACGAAAACCAACGAGAATTTCCCTCAAAAATTTCCTCAAAATTTTCATATTGTCATCAACACATATAGTTGAACATGAACATATTTTCCCCCACACTGTTAACGTCAGTATCTGTGAATTTTTATATTCATCTCGGAAAACCGTATATCATAGTATAGTTGAGGACCGCACCTACAGTGCGTGCCAATTTGATATGCAAATGTGAAAAAATGTACGTTTTCTTTTCCGAGATTAATGGAGTTTTACCACCCGTTTTACGTGAAGTGGCGTAAAACTCGGTGAAAAACGCGATATTCGCGGATTCCTGTAATAGTCGTGGAATATGTTTTTCACTAGTGTTTATCATATCACGGCTCGTGGAACTCGGATGATACTGAACAACTTGTCGCCAACGGTTACACACAACACATGTTCATAGGAATGTTAACATCATTTACGCGATATAGTTTCAGATCGATTCTCATTAATTATCGACATCTACATATCAAACTGTATAAGACCCCATTACTTTATCATTATAGTCTTTCTTTTTGCTCTTCCTCTCCCGTGAGTTTTCCTGTTCCATCGCCCTCCTCATACGCCTCCCCTCAGCTTGCCGTACGTCCCACTTATCATACCACCCAAACGACAATCCCGACGAAAACGCCGACCAGAAACTAACAAGAAAAATAATAGCTCTTTCAATGACCTCCAATAGATTACTCTCGCTGACCTTCGCAACGGAATAGAAGATATAAACAATGGGGTTTCACGAGCCGTGATTTGAAAAACACTAGTAAGGAATATGTTGTGGTAAACGGGTAAAACGTTGTTGTGAACGTTTTACCCGTGATATGAAAAACACTAGTGAAAAAATATATTTCACGACTACTGTATAGCGTAAATGTCGCCTTTTTCACAGAGTATTTCGCCACGTAAAACGGATGAAACTCCAATACACTACCTATCATATAAAAAGAATCATATTTATAAAGGTTGCCAACATCGGGAAAGAATTCTTTACATCACTCGCATTGCTCCAGCTGCTGTTGACTACCACTATGATGATTTGTAAATCCCCCCAGATAGGAAATGTTAACAATACACATATATGAGGTTATTCGACACATCAACAAAATGTGGAAAGAATATGCACATGGGCAACTACATGTGTTGGTGACAATTTCCTGAAAATTTCGATAAATTCTTTTTGGTTTCTGTACACTTTTACCAAAACTCGCGTATAAACTCCTACAACTGTCTTTGGAAACTCTTGAGCTCAGCTGAAAAAAGCGAACATATATTCCTCCTACTCCAACACTGCATGAGCCTGACTCTTGCACTACTCCCTGTACCGAAAACCGCGAATTTCCAAATTCTGCATTTTCACGGGTACCAAACATATACGACTTTTACACGTCAACTGATACGCGAAAAACAAGGAAAAAGTGTTTATATAAAGGTCTATATAACGGAAAATTTTCCTTTTTTTCTGAAAATTTTCACCGCCGAGATTACTACCTGTAAAACGCCCTCACAGTGGGGTCCCAAGGGGAATCAGAGTAACCAAACGTAGGGAAATCCTCCTCATCAAGTCGGGTATCAAACCCCCTCACACTCCCGATGGGCGATGTCCGAGAACA